AACGGTGTGACTTTCCCTGGTAGTGTAAGGGATAATTTTACCTTTCTTATGGGGCAAACGCCGGGAGTCAATCCACCGCTCCTTTCAAGAGCATAGGAAAACTCCCCTATATAATTGTGCATTGCCGCGCAAGCATTTTTGTCACGTACAGTGAAGAGTCTGGTGTAGATCCTTTCATCCAGAGTCGATTCGATATCCAGTATAAGCTAAAAGGATCCAAGGAGTTAGAATTTTTCAAGGGGGTGGGTTTTATTTACCCCGACGGTTTCGTCTATAGCTTTCGGAAACGCGACGTTGTAGTCTAAATATTGTCGCTTCCCTTCATTGCGTATGTCGAAAACGAATCCAGACACATTCTTTTCATCGCAATTTTCCATTTTCTTGAGAAAGAAGTTGGTGTAAGTAAATTGATGTGCCATTTTAAAGGCATGCATGAGAAGAAACAACAAATTCAACCGCATAGCTCTACTGCTGTTGCTATAGTCTATAATCGTATCATCGGATTCTGCGGTTCAGTGACGTCCACCGTGTCATTAAAATGCGATTAACCTTACATTAGTGGATTTTATCAGTTAATTGCGATACTTTGGGATTGTGGATGAGGACTCTTACAGATTCGTTTTAAATATCCTTAACTTTTCCTGTTGTAATATGTTATAATAGACTTTACTCGATTTGAATTTTGCACATACCAACTTTTCTTCCGCTTTTGCAACAAGCCGTTGAATGGACGGTGTATTATCTTTTTTAACCTAGGTCATTTTATTTACAAAGACAGTGATTTTTATAAGCAAACGTCAAGTTTCACGGCAATCATAGATTTACGAATAACAGGCCCACTTAATTAGACATGTATTGTGTTCGGCATTTGGATGTCTTAAATAGTCTTAAGATACCTTTAAGGATTTCTCCATCCCTTTTAACTTTTAAGAATTTAAAGTTGGTTTCTTAAGAGCGTCCAAGAATTCATAAGAGCTTCTGATATACTTCAGTTTTACCTAAAGGATTTCAAGGGTCTCCAAGAAACTTCATGGGTCTTCTAGAAGCTTTGAGAGCGTTTCATTGGTTTTTAAAAGTACGCACAACCTACAAGGGTACTTAAAAGAGCTTTTGGGTTTTTTAAAGTTTTTTAAAACATTTAAGTGTCCTTAATGGTATTTGGTTTTTTTTTTGAAAAAAGCTTCCAATAATATGAAAGTCCTCCAAAAGTTTTTGAAATTCTTAAGATTCGCTTTCTTCTTTTTATTAACCCAGCCCTTAAGAGCTTACCATCGAACCAAAACTATTTTAAAGGTTTAAACAGTCTGCAGTGACATCAAGGAACACGAGCGTTATGGGTCTTTAAAAGCCGTTGCGAGCCTTTGTCAGTGTGTTTTAACGGCTTTTGAGTTTATAAGAGCCTTTGCACATTTTTATAGTTCTGTAAGGCATTTAAGGTTCTTTACCGGCATTATAGCTCAGTGGTAGAGCGTTGGGGTATAAATCCGGAGGTCGGGTGTTCGAACCTGGTTTGAGGTGAATTTTTCATCTGTGAATTTCCTTAGATCAGTTTCGAGCATTCTGCCGGCTACTCCGAATTAGGTTTTCCTGCAGTTTTCCTAATTCGTAAGGTAAATACCGGAGTAGTATAGAACAACTTAAGACCTTCTGCAGGGGCACCTCTAAAAAGCATTATGCGGGTCACTCTGAAATTGGGCGTAAGCCTGTTGAGGGCCTAGAACAAGAGGGACAATAAATAAATAAATAAATTTAGTGATTGGATACAGTGTCCAAGAGCCTGCAACTGCCCCATAGTAACACTTGACAGTCTCTTTCTTTAAGAGCCATTGTAAGTATTTGTAAAGAGTATTATAGGGATGATTAAATTTTAATGAGCCTTCAATGATACCTAAGACCGTTTAAGGGTCCGGCCCTATTAGCCCTCTAAGGGGCTTTAAAGGTCTGTACGGTATTTTAAAAACTTTGAGAATATTTAAGAATTTTTGAAAATCCCCGAGTCTCCGAGAAACTCCAGGGGTGTCTCTAGATGCTTTGGGAGTGTTCTATTGACTTTTATAGCGTCTAAGAGCCTTTTTTCTTATATTTCTCTAAAGTTATCTGTAAAAAGGAAAACCCAAAAAAGGGAACCTTCTTGCCCCAAAACCGGACTTTAAATAGTTAATAATAGCTTTCAAAGGCCTCTTGAAAGATCTAGAGGCCTTTTCTGGCCTTTAAGTTCCCAGGGACTCCCAAAGCAAGGTGGCCCTTAAAAGCTTTTTTAAAGACCTGTACAGTTAAAATGATTAAATGATGATGATGATTTGGTACTTTTCAGAATTGTAGTAACGTTAGTAACTACATATAAAAACAGTAAACCGTAAACGGTAAACGACAAACGGTAAACGGTAAACGGTAAAAGGTAAAAGGTAAAAGGTAAAAGGTAAAAGGTAAAAGGTAAAAGGTAAAAGGTAAAAGGTAAAAGGTAAAAGGTAAAAGGTAAAAGGTAAAAGGTAAAAGGTAAACGGTAAATGCAAGTGTTGGCGAGTTCAATGTGTTTTTAATTTCAAAGTTCTTAAGAACCTTTAAAATGTTATGGGCCTTTTGGACCTTATACGAGCCTTTAAAAGTATTTCATAGGATTTAAGGTCTTTTTGTGGTAATTGTGATGGCAAAGAGACGTTATCGAAGCATGTCCTTAAAGGTACATTTAGCAATTATCATCGCAAGTTAGTGTAAGTTAATTTAGAACGTTTTCGACATACAATTTCATGCAAAATAAAACAGCGTCGTTATTTTCACTATCACGTAAGGTGGTAGTAATCCGCAAATGTCCAAATGGAAAAGTTTGGAGGGCAACCTTTGAAAAATCCAGGTAGTGGTTTCGAATGCGAAGCCTTTTCTGAAAAAGTGAACAGTGTAAGTTTCCCTGGTAGTGTAAGGGATAATTTTACCTTTCTTATGGGGCAAACGCCGGGAGTCAATCCACCGCTCCTTTCAAGAGCATAGAAAAACTCCCCTATATACTTGTGCATTGCCGCGCAAGCATTTTTGTCACGTACAGTGAAGAGTCTGGTGTAGATCCTTTCATCCAGAGTCGATTCGATGTCCAACACAAGCTAAAAGGGTTAGAGGGTTACAAGATTTTTGAAGGGTGCCTGCTCTATTTACCCTAACGGTTTCGTCGACAGGTTTCGGAATCATGATGTTACAGTCCAAAAATTGCCGCCTCCCTTCATTGCGTATATCAAAAAAGAATCCAGACACATTCTTTTCGTCACAATTTTCTATTTCCTTCAGAAAGAAGTTGGTGTAAGTAAATTGATGAGTAATTTCAAAGGCTTGCATGAGAAGAAACAACAAATTCGACCACATAGCCGTTGCTTTAGTAATGGGCGATAATCGTATCATCATCTGATTTTATGGTCGTCCACTGGGTCATTAAAATGCGATTAACCTTACATTATTAGATTCTGTATCAGCTAATTGCGAGACCTTGGGATTATGGCATTATGCCGGTCACTCAGTAATTAGGCGTTGAGGGCCTAGAACGAGAGGGACAATAAATAAATAAATTTTAAACCTTAATGCGGGCGCATTAAATGAAAAACTCAACAGAAAAAAACCTTACACTCCGAGTAGTCACATGACCCAATAATCTTATAGAATCTAGAAGCTACCTACAAGGTTTACAGAATCTTTTCAACCTCTCCACAGAATCTCTACACAGTCTACGCAAGTGCTACATAATTCTACCATTAAATAAGTAGGCTGTAAGTAATTGCCTTTGTATTACCTGCTGTTATTATAAATTCGAATTTGCAAGGCTTTTGGGAGTTTCCGTTAGCTTAATTAAAATCATTCTAGTTGTTTTATCATTTTAAAACTCCCAGAAGGGAGACTTTGAAATTCAGTTAAAAACGATCCTTATTATCAGCTTGTATGATGAGTCTTTGGGCTTTGGACTTTAAACGGCTAGCAACCTTTAACTTTAAATGGCGAGCAATGTTTGAACTTTGAACGGCGACCAACCTTTAGACTTATCACATACCTAGCATGTCATCCAAATTTTGCCTTAAGGAATTTTACAATAGTTGAGTTAGGATACCTTATTATCCATTGAACTTTGGTAACCTTGAAAGTTAAATTTGACACCACAAAAGTAGGGTCTTTGACCTCTGGTTGTTTAACAAATGAAATTTGACACCACAACGTGGGGTCTTGAACGGCGAACAACCTTTGGACTTTGAGCGGCGAGCAAAATTTGGACTTTGAATGGTGAGCAACTCCTCTCAATTGCGTAGGCGTACTTGTGCAACGCCCCACAAGAATGCAGCACGAAGATTCTTAGAAAGGTTTTCTTATCTCGTGGATGTATTCATCTAATCGCAACTTTCTATTTTCTTCAGAAGAAAATTGGTACAGGAAAAATAGTTGTTGATTTCAATGGCCCAGGTGAGCAGTAGTATCGGCCACATGCTTCGGCTATTGACTTACTAATGTCCAGATTGATTAGGTGGATTGATATCTGATTTTATGCCCGAGGGATTTCTACTGTGTCATCATCAGGTCATTAAATGAATTAGAAAGATGAAAGATTAAAGAATGCGGGTGCGTTACACAATCCAAACGGCATAACCCCGATCCGATCGTAAATGCCGGCTTCTACTGATCCTCTGGAACCATTTCCGCTTGCCAATAACTGCTTTTTAAATCCAAAGCCGTATAAAACTTGGAACCAGATAGCATGTTAGGTGTGCACACGAACCGGGATTCGAAACTGATCTAAGGTAATTCCCATCTCTGCCAAAAATTCACCTAAACCCAGGTTCGAACACCCGACCGCCGGCTTTATAGCCCAACGCTCTACCATTGAACTACAAAGTCGGTATTCTTGTCCCAGAAGAGCAACGCATAAGTACGTAAAAGCGTTTGTTAATGATAAGGAGCTTTTGAGAGACTCACGAAATCAAAAATATATTATTTCACATTTGAATATATTTACCAACACAAGTGGGTGGGAATAAGGGTTGATGGTTGAAAAAAGAGGTGTCTAATAGCAAGTAAAATACGCGCAACATTCAATTTAGAACATTGTCAATGTAGCAGGTTATGCAGAACAGAACAGCGCTGTTGGCGTCGTTATCAACCACCTTTATTGTTAAACGTAAGTGTCCAAAGGGAAAAGTCTGGAGGGAAATTTTTGAAAAATCCAAGTAGTGGTTCCGAGCGCGGTATTTTCTCTAAAATAACGAGAGGATTAAGCGCCAAAACGGCGAACCAACTTACTTTCGGTATCGGACACACACCTGGCGCTATGCCGGCACTTTGCTCAAGTGCATAGGCAAACTCCCCCATATACTTATGCATGGATGCGCAACAATTTCGCTCGCGTATCGTAAACAATTTGGCGTACACCTTTTCATCCAAACTCGTTTCGATGTCGCATAGAACCTGGGGATGATCAGAACATCATCCGAGCCGAAACCCGCCCCACTTACCCCAACGGTTTCGTCCATAGCCTTCGGGAACACTGCGTCGAAGTCTAGGTACTGTCGTCCCCCTTCATTGCGCAGATTAGAGTAGAACTTGGAAACGTTTCTCTTGTCACAATCAACGAGTTTCTTAACAACGAAATTTGTGTGGGTGAACTGGTAGGTTACTCGAATGACGACCATGAGCAGAAACGGAAAATTGGACCGCATCGTTCCACTGTCGTCGTATTATTAATGTTACATGATCCAGACGGGCTCGATACCATCAACAGAAAAATATGCTTTAGTGATCCGGGTCATTAATCTTCAATTTAATTTGCGTTAATGGGTGTTTTGTACATTAAATTTCAGACGCTTGGCTGAACCATCTGATTTTGCTTTTGAGAGTCATGGCAGTAATCAAAATTTGTGATCCATTGTGTACGCTTGTTTGAAACCTTAATTTGCATTAAAAAAGTGTCTGGATTCCACTTGCATAAGATTTACGGATGAAACAAATCTATTCGAAACCAAACTGAAAGAAAAACAGACATTCAGGGCCAAGAAAAAACAAATACCACGCAACAAGCGATCGATTGAACAAATTGATTAAATTTAGTTACCCTAAATTATTAAGATTCTTCTTTAAGATGAATAATCAACATTAACTTGATGAATAAAATTGATGACAGTTAGTTGTATAATAAATATTAAACTTGGTCACACAAATGGACGATATTTATTTGAGGCAGTTGTTCTTTTAAAATTGTTACAACTTGTCACGTAAACAAAACTTGAACTCATGACTAGAAATGCTTGAGCACACTTCATATAGCTTCCAGGAAGTAATAAAAAAAAACCGAAATGGATATTTAACTTGCAAAGAAAGCGCTCGGGAGGTCAGTAAATAAGATCTTATTGTAGAGTAACTTACTGAGTAGCAAAATGCAATTTAGGGTGATTCAGTGAATTTCAACAAGTAAATAAACGAATAAAGGAACTGGCACTTAAACCTAACACTATCATTAGGAGGTCTAATTTTAGGAGCAGGTGAGTGATGATAAGTTGATAAACCAGTATAACTGTCCCTGTCTCACTACACTTTGTTTACCCACAAACAGCTGGATAATGAATCCGTGACAACTGACTCCAGATTGTGACTTGACCTCATTACTTTCGGTACTTGAAACATTTCAGTGAGAATCATATTAACCTGTAAAAGTTTTAATAAGCAGAAACAATCCTCTAAGAAACTTCCTGGTGCGTTAAGTTTATTTCCTGCGCCTTACTTTCCGATAATCTGCGAGAGTGGAAGTAAAAAAAGGGCCCTTAATCCTAGTAAGAACTTTTAAAGTGAATGATTAGATATTCTTTGTAATCGCTTTATGCGCCCTTCAAAGCTTAAAGCGGAAAGAGTAACCAGGTTATGGGCAAACGAAAGAAGTTAATAAGAAACGTTAATTAATACCTGACGTTTCAAAGGCGGTTCGAGTTATTAACACTGTAAATTAATTTCCTGGTTTAATTTTGTTTTTTTTTTCGAGTTGTTTTTGCACAGCTTTATGTGCAGATTCGTCTCTGCGGGCGTATATTGCAATGTATTCTACTGCGTGAAACTGTAATGGAAATCAAAATTAACTTGTGCTTTGAAGTATTTCCAATGACAGTCCATAGAGTTTAGAAGGTTCAGACTTCACAGTTTTAAAGGATTTTCAGGGTTATTGAGTGCTTCAGGGGGGGGGGGTCTCAGAGAACATAGTACAGTGTCAGAAGCTCGTAGAAGGGTTACAGTGAGTTTCAGATTGTTTCAGCTGATTTCAGAAATGTGTATAAAGGGTTTTAGAGACCAGCTTAAGAGATTTTCGGAGTGTTTCAGAGACTTTCAGAGAGTTTCTGGGGGTTTTAGAGAGTGTCAGAGGGGTTCAGTGAATTTCAGAGAGTTTCGGAGAGTTTCACAGAGAGTTTAAGAGAGTTTCAGAATGTTTCAGAAACTTTCAGAGACTTTCAGAATTTTTTTAGAGTTTCAGAGAATTTCAGAGACTGTTAGAGCTTCGGAGAGTTGCAGAAAGTTTTAAGAGAGTTTCAGAGACGAACTTAAGAGATTTTCAGAAAGTTTCAGAGAGTTTCAGTGGTTTTTGAGAGTTTTAGAGCGTTTCAGAGAGTTTCTGAGAGTTTCACAGAGTTTCAGAGGGTTTCAGAAAGTTTCAGAGAGTTTCTCAGGGTTTTAGTGAGTGTCAGAGGGTTTCAGTGAATTTCAGAGAGTTTCGGAGAGTTCCACAGAGAGTTTAAGAGATTTTCAGAATGTTTCAGAAACTTTCAGAGACTTTCAGAATTTTTTTAGAGTTTCAGAGAATTTCAGAGACTGTTAGAGCTTCGGAGAGTTGCAGAAAGTTTTAAGAGAGTTTCAGAGACGAACTTAAGAGATTTTCAGAAAGTTTCAGAGAGTTTCAGAGGTTTTTGAGAGTTCCAGAGCGTTTCAGAGAGTTTCAGAGAGTTTCTGAGAGTTGCTGAGAGTTTCACAGAATTTCAGAGGGTTTCAGAAAGTTTCAGAGAGTTTCTGAGGGTTTTAGAGAGTGTCAGAGGGTTTCAGTGAATTTCAGAGAGTTTCGGAGAGTTTCACAGAGAGTTTCAGAGAGTTTCAGAGGGTTTTAGAGAGTTTCAGAGTGTTTCAGAGTGTCAGAGGGTTTCAGTGAATTTCAGAGAGTTTCGGAGAGTTCCACAGAGAGTTTAAGAGAGTTTCAGAATGTTTCAGAAACTTTCAGAGACTTTCAGAATTTTTTTAGAGTTTCAGAGAATTTCAGAGACTGTTAGAGCTTCGGAGAGTTGCAGAAAGTTTTAAGAGAGTTTCAGAGACGAACTTAAGAGATTTTCAGAAAGTTCCAGAGAGTTTCAGAGGTTTTTGAGAGTTCTAGAGCGTTTCAGAGAGTTTCAGAGAGTTTCTGAGAGTTTCTGAGAGTTTCACAGAATTTCAGAGGGTTTCAGAAAGTTTCAGAGAGTTTCTGAGGGGTTTAGAGAGTGTCAGAGGGTTTCAGTGAATTTCAGAGAGTTTCGGAGAGTTTCACAGAGAGTTTCAGAGAGTTTCAGAGGGTTTTAGAGAGTTTCAGAGTGTTTCAGAGAGTTTCAGTGTTTCAGAGACTTTCAGAGAGTTTTAGAATTTTTATAGGGAGTTTCAGAGAATTTCAGAGACTGTTAGAGAGCTTCGGAGCGTTTCAGAAAGTTTTAAGAGGGTTTCAGAGACGAACTTAAGAGATTTTCAGATGGTTTTAGAGAGTTTCAGAATGTTTCAGAGACTTTCAGAGTTTCAGAATTTTTTTAGAGTTTCAGAGAATTTCAGAGAATGTTAGAGAGCTTCGGAGCGTTTCAGAAAGTTTTAAGAGAGTTTCAGAGACGAACTTAACTGATTTTCGGAAAGTTTCAGAGAGTTTCAGAGTTTCAGAGGTTTTTGAGAGTTTCAGAGGGTTTCAGAAAGTTTCAGAGAGTTTATGAGGGTTTTAGAGAGTGTCAGAGGGTTTCAGTGAATTTCAGAGAGCTTCGGAGAGTTTTGCAGAGAGTTTCAGAGAGTTTAAGAGAGTTTCAGAGGGTTTTAGAGAGTTTCAGAGTGTTTCAGAGAGTTTCAGAGTGTTTCAGAGAATTTCAGAATGTTTCAGATACTTTTCGAGAGTTTCAGAATTTTTTTAGAGAGAGTTTCAGAGACGAACTTAAGAGATTTTCAGAAAGTTTCAGAGGTTTCAGAGTTTCAGAGGATTTTGAGAGTTTCAGAGGGTTTCAGAGAGTTTCAGAGAGTTTCTGAGGGTTTTAGAGAGTGCCAGAGGGTTTCAGTGAATTTCAGAGTGTTTCGGAGAGTTTCACAGAGAGTTTCAGAGAGTTTCGGAGGGTTTTAGAGAGTTTTAGAATGTTTGAGAGACTTTCAGAGAGTTTCAGAGTTTTTTAGAGAGTTTCAGAGAGTTTCTGAATGTTTCAGAGACTCAGAGAGTTTCAGAATTTTTTTAGAGAGTTTCAGAGAATTTCAGACTGTTAGAGAGCTTCGGAGCGTTTCAGAAAGTTTTAAGAGAGTTTCAGAGACGCACTTAAGAGATTTTCAGAAAGTTTCAGAGAGTTTCAGAATGTTTCAGAGACTTTCAGAGAATTTCAGAGACTGTGAGAGAGCTTCGGAGCGTTTCCGAAAGTTTTAAGAGAGTTTCAGAGACGAACTTAAAAGATTTTCAGAAAGTTTCAGAGAGTTTCAGAGTTTCAGAGGTTTTTGAGAGTTTCAGAGGGTTTCAGTGAATTTAAGAGAGTTTCGGAGAATTTCACAGAGAGTTTCAGAGGGTTTTAGAGAGTTTCAGAGTGTTTCAGAGAGTTTCAGAATGTTTCAGAGACTTTCAGAGAATTTCAGAATTTTTTTAGAGAGTTTCAGAGAATTTCAAAGACTGTTAGAGAGCTTCGGAGCGTTTCAGAAAGTTTTAAGAGAGTTTAGAGAGATTTTTAGAAAGTTTCAGAGGTTTTTGAGAGTTTCAGAGGGTTTTAGAGAGTGCCAGGGGGTTTCAGTGAATTTCAGGGAGTTTCGGAGAGTTTCACAGAGAGTTTCAGAGGGTTTCAGAGGGTTTTACAGTGTTTGAGAGACTTTCAGAGAGTTTCAGAATTTTTTTAGAGTTTCAGAGATTTTCAGAGACTGTTAGAGACTTTCGGAGCGTTTCAGAAAGTTTTAAGAGAGTTTCAGAGACGAACTTAAGAAATTTTCAGAAATATTCAGAAAGTTTCAAAGAGTTTCAGAGTTTTTTGAGAGTTTCAGAGGGTTTCAGAGTGTTTGTTAGGTTTGAAATTAGTTTTAAAAGAGTTTCAGGGGATTTTCAAGGGGGTTTAGTGAGTTTCGGGTGATTTTGTAGTTTTAAATTTGGGAGTTGTGGAGATTTTCGTACTTCTTTTGGACGTTCTGTCGAAACCCATCACGAGACGGTAAATAGTGGTTACGTATAAATGAGCGAAAATGTAGGGAATTTGTTTAGTCCCCATGTAAATTTCAATATGCTTAATTGGCATTAAATATGATTGTCGCGTCAATTTCGACCGTAACAAGAAATTGCCACTCCATTTCAATGCAAGGGTATGTAATATTACAACCCCTCTTGCTACACATAACACGCTATTGCACTTTAATTACCTAAATCGTCATTTGATGACGACCGAATTTTCTAATTAGCACGAGCACTTTGCCTAAAACCGAGGAAACCTTATTTAACCTACGTGAAAAT